TTTTTTCCATGTTCCTTCATGCTCTTTTTTCTGTGATTTATTTCCTTCTATATTTCCCATATTAGTTACTTATCTTCTGAAGTCCCAGCTTATGCCTTGGATTTCCCATTTCCCTATTTATCTCTTCTCTCTTATTTCTCCTTTTTTCCCGTTCATTCCTTGTTATTTCTTGCTTTCCTAATTTCCCCATCCATTGCCTGATCTTTCGTGTGTTTGTTTACGTGCCAATTGCTTTCTTGTCGTCCCCAATCCCCCAATTTGTTACTTGTCTTTCCATTTCCAAGTTATTTTCTTTATTATTTATTCATTTCCTCTCATTTTCCCTTTTATCCCATGTCTCGTTTTCCTTTTACTTTCCTCACCGACCCATTTCAAATCTCCCCAATTGCAACTTCTCTTACAGATTTCCTTTTGTTTCCCTTGTCTTCCCCATTTCCTTTTTAACTAGTTTCTTTCTTTCTCCTTTCCTTCCTTTCTGCTCCTTATTCATCTTTTCTGTTTGTCTGTCTTTATCATCAATGAATTCATTACGCTTTTCAAGATTCTAGCGTGAATTGAATATGTAAATTTTTCATATTGTCATTATCATCAAATTAATCGAGCTGTGTGTATAATGATGATAATGATGAGAATCATGATTATGAAAATAGTGATAACAATGATTACAACGATTATTTATAATGACAACATCAATGGCGACAAGCGTAATCAGGATTATATTTGCGTTTTAATAATGTTATGACAATAGTTACATTAACAATTACAAGACATTTGCAGATGAATAAAGAAATTAAGCAAATAAAACAAAGCAAAACGTTACACAGAAACTAATAAAACTATAGAAGCGTTAGATTGAAACTGTGCAATTTCATGTCAAACAAAAACAACAACAACAAAAACGTTTAATCGAACAAAAGAGAAACGTTTTTATGGTGCCGCCTCGAATGAAATCCTTTTTCCGAAAATCTTTAAGCTTTCTTTGCACTGTAAATGCATTTCTTCAGTCTCTTACACCGTGTCTAGCTAGTGATGGAATTTTCGCTCGAAATGCACTCATCTAGAAATATATTGCAAATGCGAGGTTTATAGACATATAGACAGACGCAGATCGACAAAGAGACAGATGAGATAGAGGAAAGAAAGAGAGAAAAAGAGAAGAGCGTTATGTATGTGTATGTATATATATATATATTATATATATATATATATATATATATATATATAATATATATATATATATATATATATATATATAATACATCTGCATATATATGTATATATGTACAATATATATAAATGTGTATATATACATATATATATATATATATATATATATATTATATATATATATATATATATATATATATATATATATATATATATATATATATATATATATACATATATATTTACTATCACACAATTATTACAGATCATTATCATCAATTATCAATATCACTAAGTATCATGGTTGTCATTATCATATACTTATTGCTACCATTACTATTACTCGTTATCATTATCACCATTATCCTCATAATTATTTTTTTTCTGATCTTTTAAAATCATTCCTCGTTCAATTATATCTTCCAAACGTTTATCCTTTGCAGCTTAGCTGTGTACAAACTCTACGGGGAATATACTTAAAATTTCACCACAAACTTTTTATTCAGTACACTCCGTGACCTCACACAAAGAGGTCGTGTGCTGCTCTGCTCCGGTGCCCTTGCTCTTATACAGGGATTTCTGGTGTTCTGTACGAGAATTGTACAAGAAGTTTAGGAACTATTGGCTGCTCATTCAACTCGCACTGAATGTCATGAGAGTAGTGATGTGATCATGGTTGTCTTAAATCGAATTGAATTCATTCTTACACGAGTGCCAAGTAGTGTTAGTGACCGTTAGAACTGAGTGCCCCGTTGCCCGAGCGCCATTATTCACCTGTCACGAGGCGGGCGAGCCAGGCGCCCGGTCACCACCCCGCGATGGGGGAAAAAGTCAACACTGAGGGGGAGGACGCGGGGGATAACTGTCCACCCCTCCCACGGCTGAACAGTGCGCTTCAGTGTGTAATTCAGTGGACAGACCCACTGAACCCATCGCCATGCAAGGGGCACGAAATGATGGTGATCCCGTCGCCCACGTGGGTGACGCTGGCGGAGGTGACGGCTTCACATTAGTGGAGTCGAAAAAGAAAAGGAATAAAAGAGAGCCCATCGACGCCAGCAAGACGCCACTGGCACCGGAAAGATTACGTCCGTCTCGCCTTCCCTGAAGGCACCACGAAAAAGGAAAAAAAAAATGGCTACATGACCTTGGCAACCCCTCTCCGGGCCTGCGGGATACGCCCATCGACCTTGTGCGAGAGGACACCTCTCAAAATATGACGAATGCACGTTATAACAAGGACCTTGACCTTGAAAACGCGTACTCGATGGAGTTCACAAGGCCATGCGAGTGTTACAGGATAAGCAACCATTAAACCTAATCCGCATATGGAAAAGAGAGCAACCACCTCCCAGTACATATCAATTTTGCGGAAAGTACATGCCTACCAGCCACGTGCAGCCGGTGGAGGGCATCCCTGTTGCTAAATTGGAATGCCATGTAGCTAACTACTGCAAGGACAATGCACACTGTGCAGCATATGGTGAGCATCACACTGCTAAGAAGTGTCCTCGCAGTGCTACAGGACGCGACACTACTGCAATGCACCGACCTTTGTCCCATCCTGCTTCAGGGTGACTACCTGCCACTGGGGGTACACAGCCCTCCCTACCCTGGCACCTCCCCCCCTCCTCCTGTGGCCACAGCACCCGACCGCGAGTGACCAGCGCGGCCTCCCTGCCCTGGCCCTCCCCCCCCACCCACTGTGGTCCTGGCACCGACCGCGAGTGACCAGCACGGCCCTCCCAGCCCAACCCCCGGTCAGTGTACCGGGGGAGTGCCCGACCGCGCCGTGTGTGACGTCACAAGTCGCAGAGATTTCCCGTGGCTGCCGGCGAGTGGGGGCGCAGAGGTCGCCGAACTACGCGACTCGGTTGCCAGTTGAAGGAGAAGGTGAACAAGCTGATGCTAATCATCAGAGAGGGTATCCCTGGCCTCACAGCTGCTGGTTAAAGACCTCCCCCTCCCTCCCCGGCGCCAGCCGAGGCAGTCCACCACCCCCAGGCAGGGATGATCGGAGGCCTGGCTGGGGAAGCCCCCGCACAAACATGTGGCAGAAGTGACGTCACGCCAGCTGACCATGGAGATATAAATGTGATTGAGTGTTTAAAGGAAACCAAAGCTCTGAAACAGGAAAACAATAACATGAGACAGGACAAGGACAAAATGAAAAGAGACTGTCATTGCCGAGATACTAGTGCTGCCATTAGTGTTAAAGCAACGAGCGAACAGATTCGATGTCAGGACATCAATGCTGATAACCAGAGTGGGCGTGTCAGCGCTGACAGCAGCGACGCACATTACCACGACCCTTGTGACACCGAGTCAGACGAGGAGTTCAGTGACGTCATCAGCCCCCCAGGTGCATCCGGCACAACAACCGAGGGACTGTGCTAAGAAGTGGGACAAAGCTAAGACTAATCTTTGGCGTGGTTAAAGGTACTTTTAAGCTTAGGACAATCATAGTAAGAATCTATATTCATGAAGTTATATGTTTCTTATGTGAATCTAAACTCCATAATTTTAGTGGATATAACAGTATGAAGCACACTACTCACATACGGAATAAAAGCACAATTAAATTCAGATCATGGAATATGCGTACNGAGAGAGAGAGAGAGAGAGAGAATCAAAGAGAAAAAGCGATAGAATGAAGTATAGAATTATCAATTTATCATATTAATAATGATAAGAATGACAATACTAATATATAATTATTATAATTCATATAATTGTAATGATGATGATATTGATGGTGATGGTAATAATAATGATGATAATATTAATAATAATATGTTAACAGTGATATCAGTAAGGACAATAATAATAAACATAAAAAATAGTGATAATAATGATTATCATAATAAATGATAAAGATAATAACAATTATAATGATTATAATAGCAACAACAATAATGATGATAATGATAATAATGATAATAGTAATAGTAGTAATAATGATGATGATGAAAATGCTGCTGGTGCTGGTGCTGATGATGATGATGATGATTATGATGATGATGAAGATGATGATAGTAGTAATTATTACATCATTATTATAATAATAATAATGATAGCAACAGTAAGAGCAAGAACAGCAAAAATAAAAAGGTAATACCAGAGACAACAATCATGATGATAATAATGATAGTTATCAATGACAACTCTAGTAATAAAAGGGATGATAACAATAATGCTAAATAATAATACCAATGATAGTAAAAAGATACGGATAATAAAAGGTTGATAATATCAATGACTACAATAATGATTATAGATATAATAATAATAACGATACTAATAGTAATAATGAAAATGATAACCACAGCGATAAAGATATTAATGGTCATAGTTAGAAATATGATAATGATGATAGTAAAAATATGAATAATAATTGCAACAACAATAAAAATCAAAATGATAACGATACTGACACTACTACTAATAATAACAATAACAATATCCTCATAATAATATTGGTCAAATGTAATAATCATGATGATGATTATCATGCAGCAGTGATTTTGAGAATGATTAGAATGATACTGACCAAAATATTGATATAATTTTGACAATAATAATGATAATGATAACAGTAAAAAGAATCATCATTATAATAAGAAAAATTAACAACTAAGTGTAATAATGACAACGAAATTAATACTACCACGATTAATAAGATGAATAACGGGGATAACGATAATGCTGATAAAAATATTTCTGTTTCTACTGCTACTGCCACTACTGGTAATACTAATATAAAAAGTAAATGTTGATCATAAAAATCATCAATTGAAGTTCCTGTGCCATATCAAAAAATGAAAGTCATCATGGCCATTTTCGTTATCTTCTTTGTCATATATCTCTTTAGATACTATCCGATTATTCCCCTTTGCAAAGTGACATCAGATACTATTCTAAGCAGTGAAATGTGGGGTGTCTAAGAATCTAATATAAAAGCATTTTTTTCTCTCTTCGCCAGATCCTATGCTGAAGTGCAAGCGGAAATCTGTTTCTTTATCCAAATGGCATCTGGTACCACTCAGGTCGACTCCTCTTTATTACCAATTCCAGAGCCGCTGAACATTAGTGTTACTCCTTGCACTGAGTTCCAAGGGCCACCAAACGCCTACAAAAACCAGTCAAATCCTCGAGGTGCTTTTTTCCTTGCAAATTACAAAACATACTCCAGTCCAAACCTCAAAACAAGGTTAGGTTCGGAAAAAGATGCCAAACACATAGTTCACCTCTTTGAACAAATGGGTTATACTGCTATTAAAATAATTCTGGATGCCACGAGAGAGGAAACACTGGCAGCACTTCAGAAATTCAGCAAGGAGAATATACACATGGATGTCGACTCTCTGGTGGTGGTATTCATGAGTCATGGGGAGGATGGTATAATGTATACATCAGATGAAAAGATAATTCAAGATGAGGAAGTCATCGAGTTCTTCAACAACATCAACTGCCCTGGCCTTGAAGGGAAGCCTAAAGTTTTCATCTTCCAGCACTGTCGTGGACCAAATGAACACATCGTAATTTCCAAAGCATCAACTGATTCCAAAAACAAGGGTCGTACATCTTTTGAAGTGAAAAGCATCCGAACTATAATATCTGATGTTTATATTTGCTTTTCAACTCTGCCAGGCTACAAGTCCTATAGGTATGACGATCATGGGTCGAATTATATCAACACATTCTGCAGAGTTTTCATGGCTGAAGCTTATCGCAAAGAAATGGATGGCCTTATGAGGCAAGTAGAAAGAGAACTGCCAGATGCAATATGTGCAGCAATACACAGATTGGGGATCAAACGGGATTTTTATTTCAATCCATATTCCAAAGAGGAGACTGAATCGGTAATGAAAAACAGAGGCGCCATGGCTAGTAACGAGACCTACAGGACCAGAAGCTCACCAAGGGGCCATGTCCTCATCATTAATGATCTTGAAAATTGCAAGAAAGACATTGAGGACCTACAGAAAATTTTCACATCACTTGGATTCAACGTTCTCAAGCCCTGCAGAAATCTCAAGAAGGAAGAGCTAAAAGAAACACTTCGCAACTTTTCTGAAAGGCCTCATCATGATTCGGCAGTTGTCATATTCTATGGAGCAGGGAATGGGAACAACTTAGTGTCAGGTGATCACTTAGTAACAAGTTTCAGTGAGTTCACAGAAATCTTTAATGATAAAAACTGCCCAAACTTAGCTGGAAAACCAAAATTATTCATTCTGAATACGTGCTGCACTGATGTCAGGTCAGAGGAGTCACATAACAGTGAAGTGGATGATACAGAGGTGAGTCTCCAGCAAGGTTTAGGTGAGCTAACTGGGCTGAGTACAGATGGCAACACTGAGTTTGAAATAGCACAAAGCACAGTAGAAATTTCTGATGAGCGTGACATGTGTCTGTTAATTGTAGAAGTTGATGGGCAGTGTAAGGAAGGTTCGTTGCTAACAAAAGCACTGTACCAGGTTCTTCTCAAGCATGCCTGCGACAAAGAGCTTATGACACTCAGCAAAATGATTCTACAGATGTTAGAAGATCTACAGAAAGCAAAAGGTGGCGAACAGTACTACCCTGAGGTAAGGACCATGAAATTCCTGCACGACTATTATTTCAATCCACCAAAAGCTGAACAAAATCCACCCCCTCCACCCAAGCACAGCAAAATCCACCTTGAAAGAGGCTATTTCCCTCAGAAAAGGCTGAGTGTGAAGCAAGTGAAACAGCCTCGAAATACCCACTCTGATTACAGCAACTGGTCGCGACCCCATGGCCTGGCACTCATCATTTCCTTTGACAAATACAAAAGTGAAGAGCTCCCCGACTGCTCATGGCGACAGTACAATGCAAACATGATGTCAGAGCTTTATAATGATATGGGATACAGGACAGTAATTTATCGTAATCCTACGAATTCTGAGGCCAGATCTTGCATTGAAGAATTCTCAGCAAGGAGGGAACATTCCGACCTCGACTCGGCGGTCATCACCATCTTAGGCCTTGCTAAAGACTGCAACACCTTCTACTGTGGAGATGGAGAACCTCTTCACTTATCGGGTGTTTATTCTCCCTTCACGGATACCTCTTGCCTTGCTCTGAAAAGGAAACCCAAGCTCTTCTTCTTCCACATGACACAGATGCAAAAATGGGAAATTTCCGAGGAAAGCCCACGAAAAGAGCTGAGAGATGCCTTTGTTGTACGCCTTGTATCGAAGGTTGGTGCAAATGGCCTTCACCCAAAGAAGGGCTTATGGGCGTGGAGGAATGCCCTGGAGGAACACGCCCACGACACTCACCTGGAGTGCCTGATAAGCAAGGCAGAAGATTATCTGCATGATGATGCTTGCAATACCAGGGTATCTGACGAACACTTCGAACGCGAGCCGTGCTTTCTTACTGGAAAATTCTTCCTAAATCCGAAGAAACTATGAAGATTGGGATGTAAAGATGCCCCACTCTTTTTTTCGAATAAAATGTGAGGTATACAGATCATGCAATTAGTACTGACTGGGTGATGAGGCATTTTGATATAGATTGTTACTTTACAGGTTGAAAATAAATGTCTTGCAATGATGTTAAAGTGCATTAAAAAAGAAAGAAGAATATATATATAAATATATATATATATATTGTAGAGTGTACTAATTATCGAGAGGGCGTGGTACTCCAGTTGGCACTTCCTGCGACACCAGTGCGCACCTGAGTCACCTGCGCATGATTCATATGGTTTACTCTACACCCGTTTTCTTTCCCCTTCGTTATGTGTTTACATTAATGTTGCAGTTGTTGGTTTTGCGGGTCCCACTTTTAGTTCAGTATTTTAAATTGCGTTTTTATATTATTTAATCTCTAAACCCAGTTGTGACGCCCCCGATTTAAGTAATCTATATTTCTGAAATATAAGGCAGAAGGGTGTTTTAATATTCCAGCAGAATTTTACCAAAGCCTGGACACTCAAAGGAGAAATGTTATGCTCAAAGTCATTAATGAAATTTATGAGACTGGTATTCTCCCTGAAAATTTTGTGCAAAGTATTTTCATACCTATACCTAAAGTTAATAAAGCCAAAAATTTTGGTGACTTTCGAACAATTAGCCTAATCAGTCATGCTTCAAAAATACTTCTTCATATAATTAAAAATCGAATCACACCCATAGTTGAAGCCAGTTAGGGTTTA